ATTCAACGAATTTATTTTTCGTGCGTTATTATAATCACTACTGAGTAATAATCAACAATTTCAACACTTCGAAAACAAGTAAGTTATTCACTTGTGAGCCGAAGCATGGCCGGATTGCGTTACCGTACCCACGGTACCGTACTTTTTTAGTGCTTGTTTTTATTTGAAACTCCTGTCAGAATATACTTTCCGTTACGAAGAAAATTAAAAAAATAAATGCATATTACACTAAAAATACTGAGTATTTTTTTTTCATGTGAACAGTCTTTTTGTGACGTGACGCTTATCACTCTTCCCTGACATCTAAATTGGAGTTACCCTTATATTCAAAAGATGTACAGTCTATTGTTTGTTTTATGCAAGTGATGTGGGGAAAAATGACCACGCCCATTTAGTGATTGCAATATGTACGTAATAGAAACCGCACCCCGAACTTGAGCTGTTGATCCCAATTTTTTATTTGATACATTGTAATATAAATCGCGGTTTATAATAGGATTTTAACGGTACATTCTTATTTTTTGTTCTTTCTTTTAAATAATTTTTTTGTGCCAGGCGACAGTTCAGGATATTGAGTGTCACTGTTGTCTCTCCTGACTTTTTTTGTATGTACAAATTGCAAGTACTAGTGCTGACACAGTGCATTTTGCCACATAAGTCATATTCATGTTTGGGACGACAAGACAGGGCTGTGTGGCCATCTCTCTGTCAAATGGCAATTTTAATGCACTATCCTGGCGTCAACCAGGCTCGGTCAAACACAAGCACCTGCGGACCTTTCCCAAGGTTCCCCCAAAGTTGCAATAGTTAGTGAATGAATCTCGGCCAGTGGAATTGGCCTTCCCATTGAGTCTGTGGCACACTCAACCAGGGTAGGGGTCGACCCTTTGATGTTCAGCCTAAAGTAGGATTTGAACTAGGGTCTACCGATCACGAGTCTCATGCGACAACCACTATGCTACCAGTGACCAGTGCTTACATTCGTACTTTGCAGCCTTTTTGTGATAACTTTATACCGTAAAAACTCAATTAATTCGCGGTAGTAAAAATAATTATTTTTTCAAGTGCACGAATTAATAGCGTAAAAATTATTGGTTTTTGGTGCGCGAATTAAAAGAGTACTTTTCGATAGATTCAAAAAGGAGCTGTTTTCATAAATTTATTAGTGATTTGTTTTGTTTTCCAATGAACACGATTACAGGACGTTTTTTAGTGCCTCTGAGACTCGCGTGGCTAGCGACATTCATGGCGTATAGTCGGGCAGAGAACACGCACTGCGTCAAGGACCATGCAACACTTGAAATGAAACAGTGAAATAGCAAAGGTCACTCTGTACACAAACAATGAACACGTGGCTACAAAGTAGCCGTCTGGCTGCACAGCCTTTTTTTTTACTTTTCTAGGCATCGCCCAGGCGATGTTATGGCAGTTGAGTAAGGCTAACCGAGTCGTGACCTCGATGTGGTTCGTAACCAGTCTTGTGATTGGTTGTTGACAAGTGCTGAACAGGCCACGCCTCCAACTGTGCTGTGCGTTCGGGCAAACCGTTCAATTTGTGTAGTTTTCTTGATTTATTCTGCAGATATCAGTAAAATGTAGGTAAGGCTTTGGCGAAATTTGAAGGAGTAACTAATATTCTTCAACCTGGTATTTTTTTTAGATTTTATTTTTCATTCTTTGTTTTTTCGAGTTTAAAAAATGTGAGCTGGCTGGAGCCTTCATTCCTTGTCTTTTTCTTACACTAGATACCAGCCGATACCACCCCCCTCCCCCCGCTCATAGGGAGTGCGTACAGTTGATCATAGTTCCTGGGCTCCCTGTGGTTTTAATACATTGGTGAGAGGTCGCATCACTAAGACGGAAAAGCAAGCCAAAGTCAAAACGGGGTGCATCATGGACATGACAACACACGCTGCGACAACTGAGTGATCAGCGACATCGTTTTGGGATGCAATTGAACTTCAAGTACTTTTTAGCGAAACTTGTTGCGCGGCGATGCTGACACCAAGTGTGTGTTGACCGAAGTTTGACCCCAAGTCACGCACTGAACTGGCGCGTTACCTTAGCAACCTTTTTTTCTTTCATGCCTGCGCGTCAAACTAGTAAAATTGTTATTATATCCGAAGGTACTGTAATTACGCAACTTGTATGCAACTCTGTACTGGCTTGAATATATCAACTTGAACGTCGTTTACTTAGTGCACTGCTTTTCTAATTACGCAAATTTGTTTACAATATTGTACCGGCTCTGTACTTCGTTATGTATTGCTTTCATGATAATTAGTTGTTTTTTTTAACTATTGTTAGGGCACTGACAGGTATTGGGTCTGTGAATATTTCATTATCACCAACTTGATAATGCGTTGCATTCATAATAATTACGCAAACATAAACATACCATACGTCAAATTAAATTTTACTATAATACAAGTCATTGTCAATGACATGTCCCCGTTCCGTTCATATTTGAGTGACATATACATTCAAAGCAGATCATGACCGAAATGCACCTGCATATGTACAACACATTG